GAGCTGGGCTGATGCGAAATCAGGAATGTGGAGGCCCCGGGCAAGGGGACAGGACTGAATGCTGATAGGAAATGTTCCCTTCTCGGTAGCTGCCGCCTTTCCTGCGAGCTTTGAAAAGAGCATCTGTGTGCGTGTGTGAGTATGTCTGGGGACCTGGGGAAATGGATGGGTCACATCTGGAGAAAACGGCTCTGTCCTCCAGTGTCATGATGATAGTGGAAAGGGTAGAACGAATCGCCCTCGATACCTGGAAGTTTTTGGCTGTCTCGACACGTAAGTGCTCATAAAAATTAATGTGTTGCTTGTATCTGTAGATGTTCCAGTTAATGGAGGCATTTTGTTGTTTTGGTTTATTAGTAAATCTAATAAATTTGAAGGGGAAGAAATACAGATAGCGGTCTTAAATTATTTTCATGTCGCTGTTTGTTAGCCACTGCGCTAATTGCATTTCTATAGTTGTAAAGGTTTTTTTAATGAAAACTGCAAGTATAAAATGGAAGCCCTTAGCTTTCACTTAAAACTTGTCTTCTATTAACCAGTGTGTTGTAAATGGTAATATATCTGTTCTTTAGCCATCTGTGTATGTTTTGAGTATAACGAGTTAGAAGATGAGATACATATGCAATAAGGTACATTTTTGGAGAAGGGAACTGTCATGTACAGTCAGTGTAAACTCAATTTTAGAATGCATTAGAATGGAAATGAAGTTGCAAATTACTGATATGGATTAAAATACCTGCTTTTAATACACACAGTGACCAAAAGTGGGGTGGTTTTTTGTGCTAATGAATTTATTTGGAAGTAATGCTTTTGCATAGTCGAGCAGGGAATTGGACTCTCTGTTGATTGCTTGAGAGAATAGTATAGTTAGGGAGCAGTTGCTTGGGGGGCATATTTAACCTTTAACAGTTACTTTTTTTTATGATGCACTTTCAAAATTGCTACTGTAAAGTGGATTCCTGCAAATAAAATTGTTTTGTAGATCTATAAGGTTTTTTAAAAGAAGATTTGTATTCACATCATGCATTCACTAGCTTTATGGGGAATAGAAGAAACTGATAGAAAAGGACTCCAGAAGTGAAATTGCCTCTAGGACAGGTACTGAGGAGAGCATTGGTGAAGTTTAATACTTGGGGAACCTCAAGTCAGAGGTTATGTGGCAGCAGGAAAAAAAGTGTTGGAAAAACTGCTGCAAAAACAAGGTTCTTTGGGGAATTTAGGTGAGGCAGCAATATCCTAACCAGGCAGCCTTATGGCTGTCTAAATCACTGTTATAACCTCTACATCCCATATTGACAGCCGCTGTCGCAAAGATAACTTTAAACTGCCTGAGCTTCCTTTGGTGAAATTCTCTCATGCACATCCCTGACTTAGGGGAAAATAGTTGCAAAGCTGAGATTCTCTCAAGTGCATCACTTGACTTAATAGTTGCTATTTTTAGGAACTGAAATTAGTAAGGCTTAGGTAGGAGAGAAGATTTCATCTTTATGTAATAAGACAATTTTGACTGAAATTATTAAGGAATAATATGGTACAACCAAATGTGAGTTGTATATTATGTAAAATTCCCTACTGCGTGTTAAACCCAAAAGTGTGGTTTAACCTTAAGCTCCCTAGTGAAGTCATATATCCACAGGCTTATTTCACACTATGGTGTAAGGGATGGAAGAAATTTGTCAAATTCCTGGTCCACTGAAATTGGTTAATAAAGGCTTTCTGCATTTTACTGTAGCTAGCCAGTGCTCATGTAGGCTGCGTAGTTTGCGATGAATCTGGGTAGTCAAACCCACTTTCTATGCTAAGTCTGGTCTAGCATCAAAATTTGGAAAGAACAGTGTCTAGCAGAAGTTACTGAAATAGGGCTGGAATCATGAAGATAATCTGTCAACCCTACCACTAAAACTTTATTTGCTGCTACTGTTTCTTTGTGATACCTAGGAGCCCTCAAGCCAGCTTGCATGCCAGCTTGTGGTCCCTTGTACGAAGCTCTTCTCCTGGTATTTTATAAAAGGCTTTACAGCATGGGCTTTTTGATCAGCTCAGTAAACAATGTATTATGTGTTGGGCATTTGCTGCTTCTTAGTGCTTCCTAATGTTTAAAGTAACTTATTTTCAATAAAGTCAAGCTTGTTTGGTGGCTTCGTCTTCCTAGTGGTTGGTTACTGCAGCTAGGGATTTTGGGTGGTGAAAAGCATCACCAAAGCCCTTTTTCGTTGGTCTTTGCTTTTTGCTCTTGTTCAAAGCTGTGAGAAATTAATTCTGATAAGACTTACTGACTTTGATATCAGTCTTCTGAATTGAAACAGTGGGACTGGTGGTGCCCCAAGATCCCAGTTGCTTCTCAAAGTTGCATGTCAGCAGGTATTTGTGTGACTGTGTGCAGGTATCAAAGCGTGATTCTGCAACAGAAAGTGTGCAACGCTGTGATGGATGTACGACCACAGTCAGAGTTTGACATTTCTGAACTGTCCAGGTGGACACTGATGATGAATTTTCATCAGCAGATTGGAAGTCAGGAGGTTTAGCTGGTGTGGCGTATCTGAGAAGAGAACTGCAACGCTTGAAAGGTCATTTAAGTTTCTTCTGCCTTGATTTACTTGTCTTCTTGCCTACAATACTTCACAAAGATTACAGAGTTTGTTTGCAGCCTAAAGTGCCTTGTGATCTTTGGTCAAAGATAATATATACGTGTGAGGCACTGTCTGCTCTGATAAATTTTGTGCTGTCAGAGGAATCCAAGCAGTACAGCGATGATGTGGTGGTTATTTGCTGGTGAGAACCAGTGAGTTCCTGGGAACAGAAATCAAGAATTTTCTTTATAGTAATTCAATGCATGCCTTGTGTCTTAATATGTTGACTACCTGTTCCCTTGGGCTGAAGGGTAAAATCCAAATAAGATATTCAAGAACAAAAGCATGTCCAAAACACGGCTCTTTCTTTTTACGGTGTTTGTTAAAGCTTGAAACTTTGGGATGTCAGCAGTGATTAGCAACGGGCAGAAGTTTAAAGTTGATGCTTACAGACAGCAATAGAGGAAGAAGAAACGGTGGGGTGGAAAAGTGTATATGCTTTTTCTGTTGAAATTTGTGTTTGCTGTGAGGTGAGAAAGTGGGCTGGCAAAACACAGCAATAGTGTATTCTAGACAAAACCCAATGGTTACAAAGAGGGGGATAAGGATCTGCAAGAGGAAAAGGAATATTTCTGTGTTTGTTCTCAGTTAGAATACCAAATAAGCTGACTTCCTAATCACCATTTTTGCATTGTTGTTTTTTTAAGGAAAAACTGTGTGTGTGGATCAGGTTAATGACCAGGAAAAGAAGTTTGTCACTTTTGCAGCAGTCTAATGAATCAAGATAATGGCTTCATTTTCTGATATCCTTAAGAGTAGTTCAAACTGTATAAAATTCAAGATGACATTGTAGGGTAAAGCGCCCTGTGCTTTGTTGCTGGACTATAGGAGGAAGCATGTGTGTGCCTCTAGGAATATACGCATTTTGTCGAGAGACTTCTTTATTGAATGTTTCTTTTCAAGAGGCTTAGTATTCTGGAATTTTTTTTCTATTGTAGAAGTCCCATGTACCATTAAATGCGATTATTATTTTGATGAATAAGCACAGCTGGCATTTCTTTTCAATATCTGACTGCCTTCTTTTTGAGCGGTAAACGTGCTGTTGTCAAGAGATTAGCCTTTGGGGTAGCAAGTTAAATTGTTCATTTCTACTAATTGCCAGACGGGACAGGGGAATAGATATAAACTGGCTAGATATACTGTTCCAAATGGTATAGGAACTTCTTCAGTTTGCTTGTTATGAAAGAAAGCTTTAAAAAGTTACTGTTCACAAACATCGTAGCTTAAGCACATCATGGTGACTGTGCATTACAAGATGGGTTAAAATTCAGATTTTACAATCTTACTGAGTCTGGTTTGTTTTTCATGAACTTATTTAATAGCTGTTGCTCTGTGAGCTTCAGGTGGGAAGATTTCCCATGCCTGTTGCACAGTGCCAGGTTGAAGAAAGGCTCAACAGTTATATTGGTTCTTGGTAAATTTTAGGGCAGGTTTGTTACCGCAGGCTACAAGAGGTCTTGGAGTTCCAGCCATTTTGTCATCTGTCCTGCCTTCCCCTCCGTGACAGGAAAGGTCTGGCGTTGACCTGGCAGCCTTAAAATATGAACTACACGGAAGGCGAAGTACACGCGCCAGAAACAAACTTCAGCTGGTTGTCTTTTCTGCCACTCTGACGGCGTATGATTAAGGAGCTAACCATAAAGGGCTTGTGTTTCACTGAATTATGTACTGCTTCTCTGCACTCCACCTTGGCCATGGCATTTCGAGGATTCTTGGCAGTTAAGCCTGCAGACACACATGTTCATTTAATACACTTCAGAACCTGAAACTAAGATAGCTTTCTATTTTATTCTCCAGGAAGCAAAATAGTATCCTGCTTAATTATTGCACTAAGGTGGGAATGTGTCATGAAAGGCAGAACAACCTTTTGTCCTCATCTGTTCAATTTGGGAATACTCTCAAGTTCAGCATCCTTGTTTTATTAATTTATTTTAAGTAAAGACAAACTAATTGAAGTTGATAAGTCTTTTCATCTTTTCCTTGGTATGCTAGTTAGCTTTCTTTGTAGAAATGCAGATAGCGGCAGTAACTTAATACTGTAATGTCAGAAGATACTAGATCAAACTCTGTAATGTAGTTCAGAATCAACCATGCATCTTCAGTAGACAGCACTTGACTGACACTTGTTTTAGTGTTAATAGAATTCTTTAGCAAATACTCTCAGTAAACTATGTAAATACAAAATACACAGCTCTTGGTGTCCTTGGGTATCAGTTACTTGCCAAAGGACGTATGCGTGAAACTTGTATTGTGCAGAGGTATGTACATTTTTTTTTGATGCTTTACAATATCTGGAGAAGATGTAAATATGCTTATGGATTGTGTTATAGCTCTGACTTTTGTTCTGATTGAAGTGTTTTTGTTCTTCAGTTTTGGCAAGCGTTCGGCAGGAAGCTTCAGGCGTGGCTGTGAATGCATTGTTTTAGAGCCATCGGAAATGATTGTGGTAAGAATATTTTCACTGAGTTGCTTTCAAATTTTACAGACCAGCTTTGGTAACGCTTCAACTTCCAATGAAACTCAAAGAGTTTTCTGGTTTGCACATGGTCTTTTTGTAAATCTAAGATGTCATACATAACTTTCTTGCCATTCTGCGCATATACATTGTTTGAGTGATAAAGGCGTCTTTTATATTGTTACATTTACTTTTGCAGATTTCTTGTAAAACTAAAGTTTTCTTGTGCTAGCAGAATAGCAGAACAGTTTGTGGTGGGTTTTTTTGTTTTTTTTTTTTAAAGCTGCTTTATTATTATAGGTAAGCATAGATGCTTTAAAGTATGAATCTCAAGTTAGCTTAAGTAATTAATGTTTAATTAAATTAAATTTATTCTCAGCTGTCTGAGGTTTTAAGCAGCAGTTTGACCATTTCAAAATTCTACCGACTTTTCTGGGTGAGGGTTATTTCGTTAGCAGTATCTGCTGAACTCCAGTGGCAGAACTGCATCCTCTCCAAGGGTTCAAAGGCTCAAAAGTTTTTAGTTGCCACCTCGGGGTGCATCATCTGAACAATTGCACATTTGTGGGCCAAATGTTGTTGGGGTTTTTTTTTCCCCCTCTGTCACTGAAATAGTGATTAGTTCATAATACAGGCATGACAATTATCTAAGCCGTATATAGATGATAGTTTAAATATAGCCTGTGACACTAAACTTTTTTTTCCTAAAAAGTGACAGTTTCTGTAAAACTTGCAGAAGCTCAGGAAATTGTGGTGTAGCTGTAGGCTTGTAGAAGAGATTAGGTTACTTGTTTAAAGTTGATTGGTAAAAAAAGCAGCCTTTTAACTTACCTTCATGCAAATACAGGCATGTTTTTGTGGGTTTTAAGCTCTTTGTAATTTCACTGTAAACAGATAAAGATGTCTGTGTAATGGTAGCTTTTTCTGTCAGGTGTTTGGTGATATAGCTCCCTCTTCCAAGTCTAATTAAGAAAATCATCTTACAAAGCTAATACAATATAATAGGAGACACAGAAGACATCCATTAGAAATGCCAATTGCTTTTTTGCTATCCCTAACTAAAGCCCTGTGTAACTGTACTGCGTAAAGGAGCAGCTCCTCAACAGCAGCCCGTTACGCCTCCCCCTTTGCCCCTGTATCGGCCCCCCGGCTTGTCTGACTGGTTTGTGTAACTGGTGTCTGACCACGAGTCCTGGGAACGGTTTATTGTCCCAGATTTGTTCTCTAGGAGTATGCAATTTAGTTGGTGGTAGCTGTGTGGATGTCTGTCTGTGTGTCTCTGTTGTGCATTCCTTGGTAAGTAATAAGGAAGAGCGATATAAAGATAGAGATGGTTGAACTGGAGTCCAGTCTTCTGGGCTGATGGATAGTGTTGGGTCACATGCATCGTCTCAGTTCAAAAATACCCAATCTGTAGAGTGTTGGGAAAGCTGAAACTGAACACTTAACATCAATCCAGCCTTTCAAAGGAATAATTGTATCTCAAATAGAAAGAATCCCATCCCCAGAGTTTGTCGGGCACAGTAACTTTCAGCCTCAGGGCTGGACGGGGGTCACTCTGCAGGGGGAAGAAGCGGGAGAGGTGTAGGGTGTGAGTGCGCCCATGTGGGGGCGAAAGGGATGCTCAGTGGGGAGGGGGGCGAGCGTTACCAGCTCTTCCCGGTGAATGGCAACGGTGCGCATCCCCTTGTATTAGTGCACTTGGAGTTGTGTTTGGTGACATGAGTGTGTGATGCTTCTGACACAGATATGCTGCAAATTCCTGGGAGTATTTTGTCTAATATTTCTTTTCCTTCTTGAAAAATATGGAGAAACCTTTGTAAGGTGCTTCATAAACTCTTGTGTGCATCTTAGAATCGTAGAATGTTTTGGGTTGGAAGGGACCCCTAGAGGTCATCTAGTTCAACCCCCCTGCAGTGAGCAGGGACACCGCTAACTAGATCAGGTTGCTCAGAGCCCCGTCCAACCTGGCCTTGAATGCTTCCAGGGATGGGGCCTCCACTACCTCTCTGGGCAACCTGTTCCAGTGTTTTACCACCCTCA